TTCAACATATAAAATATTGAAGCCAAAGGGGAAAAAATAACTAATCTTAAAACAATATTGCTAAACAAGTATATTAAAGCGGTGGGGTTTAAAATAGGAGAGAAAAGAGTAAAGCCCTTTTCTTATCTCATCTATCCACATTGTTTTTTTTTTTTTTTACTTTAAAGCAGAAAAAAAGTGGAATTTAAGAAGTTAGGAGGGAAATAGGGTAATTGAATTTACACTCCAGTCATCATGAGTCGTATGGTTAATAAGAGTTAGAGGTCTTGTGAAAATTTAGGTTGATTAATCCTTAATTTTGATGAAGAACGAACCATAATGATGATTTCGACTAATATTTTGAGTGAGAATGTGACTAGTACACATGCTCAAGCAATTGGCAAAAGAGAAGATGAAAAATAAGAAGAAATAAAGTTTGTCGCTAAGCATCAGACAAAGTTTCAGATACTAGTTAGAAGGATCAGACGTCCAAAAAATGAAAAAGAATGCCAATTCTAATGATCGGACGATAGGTCGAACGCACAACATGCCTGTTTGAATGTGTAATTGCCATGCACCCTAATTTGCACTCTCGTTGGAATAGAACATATGGATTTTGAATGCCTAATCATTTCGAAATTCTATTCATATATGTCTTATATGTGAAAATATCATTCAAAATGATAAATTTGGACATATAAATAATTGATTGTGATAACTCTCAATTCCTTCTAAATCAACTCATGACTTACAAAAGAAAACATGAGTTTTCACTTTTTTTGAAAGAGTTTATGTGGTTGAAAATTGTTTATGTTTACTTACTATGAGTTTTATCTGTAAATTATGCTAAGATATCTAAATTTGATTTAGTTTAACCATTTGGTGCCAAATGGTGCCAATGGTAGGTAAACATCAGTTGCCAATTCTCCAGCATTCACCTCATCGTGAATTTAACCGCTGTAGGTATAATGTATTTTCTAGTTTAAGTTTGAGATCGAGTATTCTACCCTAATTAAGTGTAATGTTATTTGTCAACTTTGTATTTAAATGATATATCTATGCATATTCGCTTCACATAAGAAATGAATTAGATATCTATCTAGTGATCTTTATATCTTCATTTATGATTAGAAAGATGAAATGCTCTTAATCTCACAATAAATGAGATAGCTACATCACATGTATTTAGTTGTTGATCAAGTACCGGAAAAAAATTTCACTTGCACTACATGAGGTACAAACCTTCAAGAGTGATTTTTGGGTAGAAAAATACTTTGAATATTGTATAGTGGTGAAAAAAATTCTTAGATTTGAAAGGTTTCTCATTAAAGAGAAGTAAAACCTTGGAGAAGATAAACCCTTCTTTTTAAAATTCCTTGGCTCAACTAGGAAGAGTTGTAAAATCTCTTGGTTCAATTAGAATTGAAATACGGATGAGCCCTTCTTTGTACAAATTGATTTGTGTCACCAACAATTGAAAGAAGTACATGATTGATTGAAATCCAAGTTTGGTGAAATTTGGGAGTTAAAGGAGGTGCCATTAAGGGTACCAATACATTTGGTTTGCTTTTCTTTTTACTTTGTTGTTCTCTTACTTGATAAATTGTGTGATTTCTTAGCTTTATCTTGATCATCACATTCTATTTGTTTAAATGTGTGCTCACTTAATTAGGTAATTTGATTAGTTTAAATTGGATGAAAATTTGACTTATTTTGTTTAGTTGTTAATCAACCTAATTCACCTCTTTCTTAAATTACTTTAGGCCTTATATTTTGGATTCAAATCCCTTGGTCCCTTCCCCATTTCTTTACTCCTCCCCTGCTAAAGAAAATTTAAAAACAAAAGATGAGGCGTAGAGTTAACCATTGTTCATCTTAAAATATGCTACTTGTAACTGCAGTCACAACTCTTTATATTTGAGAAATATCTACATAGGATTGTGAAGTACTTTTCAATACTTATATCAGGGAAAAAAAATGAAGTAAAGAACCAAAATAGATATTATTACAAATTATTATTTTCTCAATCACTCAAGTATTTAGAATTTCCAAAATTAGTATATGCATTATAATACTCCTCTTGTAGACAAATCATCCTTCCGGTACTGAGGGATGACTCATGATACCCCTCTAGCTCTAAGTAATAGTTCAAATTGCTTAAAATACTTAAATTACTGGTCTAGCACTACATGGTCTTTGTAAAGTTAAATAGCTTCAATTACTTTTGTTTCTAAATATTTGGTGGTAAAAAGAACTAAAGCAGATCAACTTTCTGACATTTCATTTACTGTAGTTTAATGTAATTAGTACACGAAAGGCATGAAGGAGAAAGTAGAACTCATTGAAATTTATCATGTGTTAATGATATATTCTTTGTATATTTGTTATAAGAAAAATGTATTTAATTGTTCATAAATATAATTTTTGGCTTTTGTTTCCTCCTTTTTTTTTCTTTTGTGAATAGGATTCATAAGGTTACAATATTTAGTTTGAGGGTGGTTTTCTTTCTTTTTCCTTTTCTCAAAATATTAGGACCATTAATTTAATCTTAATAGCGAGGGTATACAAAGGAAAGTTAGAAGATAACAAAAGTGTATTAACACCACATATTTTTTATTTGGCTTTTATATATTGTTGAATTGCTTTGAGTAACCTATAATATTCTCTAGAAAAATGATTAGTCTATATGATACTTTAGACAACCGACAATGACAAAAGTGATTTACAGATGCAACTTTTGCTGTATCTTTTGATTTGATAACATCTGATGTTAATAACGCCACAAAATAAAAAATCCCCCCAAAACATTGAAGACTAATTTAATCTCTTTCTCTTTTGTAACTACAAAATCAACAGAATATTTTTTTCTGTTATCAGGTTCGGGTTCGAATCTTGAGTTTGATAATTGCGGATGAGAAGGGTGTGAGAAGGATGAGAGGTTAAAAAAAAGGAAAAATTAACAGAATATTTGAAAGTCAAACATATCCTTTTTTTCACACTCTGATGAATTTAGGACCCATCTCAAAGTGTCAGATTTTCAAAGTGATAAAGTAGAGACAAGAAATTTATTCTAGAGGTATCCAGTGTGGATTTTACAGAGTAGTTGGAAGCCATTAAGATCCAAAGGATCCAAAGCATTTTTTCTGATGTTGACTTGGATTATAAAAATATTCCACATTTATGCATGCAGCTCTAAGTCACTTTCCATTAGGGCCCCAAATGCTCGAAGATATTGCCAAAGGGCTACATACATGAAACCGCAAATTGCTTATTTGTAGTGCTCATAGTTTTTGTTATTTGCACTTTGGTACGCTTGAAAGTTATCATCTTATGGGTAACTTTTTTATACATTGTAAGTGAATAATTTTCTTTGCACTGACGGTTCAGATCATGCTACATAATATGAACTCAATTTTGAAATTCAAATAATGCATATGTGGCATACATCTATAACTGTTAGTCTAAAAAAATCACTATATTGTCAGTGTATAAAAAGTTAATCAAAATCTTATAGGTACATATACATACCTTTTATGGTATTAAGCGACAAAAATTTTAAAAATACAAGGTGCAAAAAGGAAGGAAATTCAACAAGAAAATTTTATCTAATTGTTAGTAATATATTAACAAATTAAATCCATAACTTTGGAGAAAAATATGTCTTCCCAATTTTGGAGCAGACATATCAAGTATGTTTGTTAAGGTATTAAAGCACCAAAGTTCTGTTCAACTTCACATTTAGCTGAAAGACATATTAACTGAATCAAAAAAAATCAAACCCCATCAACATTTTTCAAGGATGTATATGGAAAATTTATGCTTTGGTACAAGCATTTTTTTTTCCCTTTTTGAATGACAGCTAACCGATAACCTTAAATAGCAAGAATGCAAAGAGAATTTAGAAGTATACATATGTTGAAGATCCAATGTGCAATTTCTTTCTTGAAGATCCAAGAATGCTATTTTCTTTTTCTTTTTCTTTTTTTTTATAACTATAGGTAATTGCTTCAACTTTGAAGACCAAAATAAAGATTATATAAGCTTTAGAAAGTATAAAAATAAAAAAGGAACCATCATCCTTTTTCTTAATCCAAAATTTTTTAATTTAAAATTGTTTAAATATATTGAGATTTTTTCAATCATAACTATACTACATGGTATGCAGCGTTACCTATAGCCAATATACTATATTCAAGAACTCCTATAACTACATGATTCACAGCTTAAATTAATGTTCAAACTCGAGTTGGAAAATCGAATTTGGATTAATTTTGTATTCACTGACATTATATGCACATTCACTTTTGAGTGTATGCCACTTAATTCTAATTTAGATTTAAATATCATTTTTTTGTATATGTGACATGTATTCAAGGGTGATAATATATACAATAAAATTTATATTCAAATTTAAGCTAAAAAATAAACAAATATCTTAATACAAATTCGAACTGGCTTATATGCTATATGATAATATTGAACTCTGACTCATGTTGCTTATATTTTGAGCCAATCTAATTTTAAGTTCTAGTTGGACCTCAACTGATGTCAATTTAGGTAAATCGAACTCAAGTAACATGTATTCCTCGACCTCAATTGAGTTGATTGATGTCTTGATTGATTATTGCTCGAGTTTGATCCACACGCTGAGTTAAAACTTAATTTTAGAATACTAGAGCAAATCGATGGAATTACATTCATTCATTTACATCATTACTAAATACTAAATCACCAATTCAGTGTACTTCATTTCCAACTATATCTTCATGAATTCATACAAAAAAGAAAAACAAAATGCACATAAGTAGCATGAGGCTTATAATAATATTTAATGAGCCCATAATCTTATGGAAAAAAAATTAAATAGATAATGCAAATCATAAAATAATCCTAAAGGCAGCGAGTCTTCCACATGGCCTAGCTGGGCAAACAGGCAGCAGTTACTTTCAAAGATGGTCATTGGACTCATTACAAAATTAAAAAGAAACAAAGAAATAAAACAAAGAAAGAAGTTTCTTTCTTTCTTGAAAGAATTATTTATTTCCCTTTCTTACATCCATCTCTTCCTCCATTGGATTACAGAAGATTCTCAGAAACCCTGCTGGCCTGCCAGCTCTTCTCTCTAGGAAACCTATGAGTAAATTTCAAGCCAAAAACAGGACCACATGAAGCCTTTCTGCTTCATAAGTCACTGGCTACTATACCATTTATTACCCAGAATTGAGTTCTTCCAAGTTGTCTACAGATGAGTCTTCCAAGTTATGATCTTTTCAGGCATTATAATATTAAATTGCCTGAAATCATTGTACTTTACTCAATGGTTCTATATTTTGTACTCGTAGTGGTAGTAGTATAATGCTTAGTAGCACAAAGGGTTGAACTTTGGAATCTTCTGGTAGTTGGAGTGGGCACTCTGGGCAGTGGTTTGTGTCAGAACAGATGGGTTGTTTATAAAACAACAGAATTCAGAGAGGTTGACCTAAAATTTCTGTCTTTTTTGGGGAAATTATTATTGTTGTCAAAAAAAGATTATCTCTTTTGGTGGTTTTAGGACTGAGATTTTGGGTTAGTTTCACCTTGTTTTTTTTTTTCTTCTTTTCCTGTGGAGTTGTTTTGTTGATAGATTAAGTCGCTTGTTTGGTCAAATTTGGAGTTTTTTCTGAGGTGGGTTTTCGGTAATTTTTAGGTTTTTTTTAATAAGAAAGAAGATGCATTTGATTCTATGCTGAAGGATCTGATTTGGAGTTTTGGGAATTTCTGAATCTGGGCTGAAGTTAGAAGTCAAAAGGGGAGTTGGTGTTGAAACTAACTCAATTGGAAGTGCATTGGACTAAGTTAAGTTGCATTTTGATGTTAGGAGAGGGGTTTAGTAGAGGTTAGTTGTGGCTCTTGAATCAGGTCTACTTCTGCTGGAAATTCAGTTGCTTAGTTTTTTTCTGGCTAGTTTTGTTCAAACATGGCTTGTATGAAACTGGGATCCAAAAGTGATGCTTTTCAGAGGCAAGGCCAGGCATGGTATGGTTTCTTAACCCTGTAACTTAATGTCCTCTTGTTGATCTGTTGTGATGGTTGGTTTGCCATTCAATATAGTCTGGTCTGCAGAGTGCACATGTAATTTTTCATCTCCTCGTGTTCGTCTAATTGCGTCAGAGAGAGGTCTTTTTTCTTTCTTAATTTTTCGAATTCCAAGTTCTACATAAGTTGGATATTGACGGTCAAGTAAAATGTTTGTTTAACTCTTCTGATTTTACTAAAACTCCCAGATTCACTTATGACTGTTTTGGCTGGAATCATGTGTGTCTGAGATTGAATTAGTAACTCTTACAATTTAGAGGGGCAATCCAAGTTAAAAGTTGTTCTAATTCATCGAGGTCTTTCGTTGTGATTGGAAGTCTGTGTTTGTGATCCTGAATGGTTTCAAATCCTGCAAGTTATGTTGCTTTTGGTATTTGGTGTGTATCACTATTGTAAAATCTGATGAAGACAAGCATCGTGTAGAAATTTCTCCGTTTTCTGGGATGAATAGCTAGCTTGTGAAGAAGCATTAAACAACTACCATGAACTCTTGAGTTATGACACTCTGGCTTGTATTTTTGTTCAGTTGTATACATCTGGACTTTCTAAAATTTGTGGAATCCTGTGGTAAGCGAGCTTTTTCAGATAATTAACTAATGCTCGGTATATTGAATCTAAGACCACTATGTGGGTATAAAGTCTATGGGTATCCTCCTTGCTTTCTTGTCCTTTTGAAGTATCTTACAAGATTCCTTGCTTAAGAAAAATGACTAATTTTTAACTTTAACAAATTTGATTGCATATTTTCTGCTGAACGTTGACCTTTTGGTTCTCCTGTGTAGGTTCTGCACAACTGGTCTTCCAAGTGATCTCATCGTTGAAGTTGGGGAGATGTCATTCCATCTACACAAGGTACATTTCAATTAAATAAACAAAAGCTTTATCAAATGGTGCTTTAGTTGTGGTACACAATTATAATTATTTCCTGGAGAAAAAAAAGAGAAGTTTATTTTTGTGCTCATTTATCCTTTTTTTTTGTGCTCATTTACTTTTTGAACTTCAAATTAACTGAAGTTCCCTGGCAATATTGTGGATTACAAGTTTTATTGCTTTTATTTACTGGTTTATTCATCTTAATAGTTATTGACTTGTTTTGCCACGATATAATTTCATTCCATTATTTCAGAAATTCAAACAATTTTGTTATAACTGTAAGGATATATGCGAGGATTAAGGATCATATGTCTTCCAGCATCCACTAAGTATAAATTATGTCCATTGGAGCTCAAAATTGTGTAAATTACAATGCCAAGAAAGGAGAAGTCTTGTGGAGTTTTGATCTGTTTTCAGGACATTTGTCTGCCTTTTTTTAAGTTGTGAGTAAATGAGGAAGTGAGCTACTGCTCTATTTGTGTTTAGTTTCTCTTTTGGCATCTCTATGATAATAGCGTTTAGATCCAAGTCTCTTTATGGTTGAGTGTCAAAAGCACAAAATGGCTTGAGAGAAGGTGTAGCTTATGTAGTCAGCTGGTTAGCTTCAAAGTAACCTATCAAAAGAAGTCTTACTCTGGCTTGTATGTGACACAACAAACAACATGAGAAATCATATGTTGCAAAATACCTAGTTTGTTGAGAAGATCAGTCATTGAACCTAAATATATTAGACATTTCTTTTCGTCCTGGTTTGAACTTGAATAATTAGTGCAGAACTCTTATGTAATCAGTGGTATTACCTTTGGACAAACTTCTTTGATTGTCTTCATCCTTAGTCATAACGGCTGCAATCCTTATTCTACTTTGTAATTCCTAATGTGTGCAGTTTCCATTGCTTTCAAGAAGTGGGGTTATGGAAAGACTGATTGCAGAAGCATCTGATGAAGGAGAAGAAGGTTATTTAATTAAGCTGCCAGACATTCCTGGTGGGGCTAAAACCTTTGAGCTGGTTGCCAAATTTTGCTATGGAGTGAAACTTGAATTGACTGCATCCAATGTTGTATACCTTCGATGTGCCGCTGACCATCTTGAAATGACAGAAGAGTATGGAGAGGGCAATCTTATTTCACAGGCTGAAATATTTCTCAATCAAGTAGTTCTAAAAAGCTGGAAAGACTCTTTGAAAGCACTCCAGACATGTGATGATGTTCTCCCCTATGCAGAAGAACTCCATATCACAAAAAGGTGCATTGAATCACTGGCTGCCAAGGCATCAACTGACCCGAACCTATTTGGTTGGCCGGTCATGGAGCATGGTGGGCCTATGCAAAGTCCTGGTGGAAGTGTCTTGTGGAATGGAATAAGCACTGGTGCAAGGCCAAAACACTCAAGTTCAGATTGGTGGTATGAGGATGCATCAGCTCTTAGTTTACCTCTTTACAAAAGATTGATTTCTGTCATGGAATCTCGAGGCATCAAACAAGATATTCTTTCTGCCTCCCTTAGTTTCTATGCCAAAAAATATCTACCGGGGATAAACCGCCGTCAGAGTGCTGGTGAGTCTAGTAGCCGTCTTACGGGATTGGGGGCAACTCTTACTGAAGAGGACCAGAAGCTTTTACTCGAAGAGGTTGATCGCTTACTTCCTATGCAAAAAGGCCTAGTCTCCACTAAATTCCTCTTTGGGCTACTTCGAACAGCCAAGATTCTTCATGCAAGTCTGTCTTGCATATCAACCTTGGAAAAGAGAATAGGGATGCAGCTTGATCAGGCCACTCTTGAAGATCTATTGATGCCTAGCTTTACTCATTCTATGGAGACTTTGTATGATGTTGATTGTGTGCAGCGGATCCTCGAGCATTTCTTGGCAATGGATCAGGTAACCGGAGGTGCATCACCTTGTTCAGTGGATGATGGCCAACTGATGGGGTCACCTTCTCTGACACCAATCACTATGGTAGCGAAGCTAATTGATGGGTACCTTGCAGAAGTCGCCCCAGATGTTAACTTGAAACTACCCAAGTTTCAATCTCTTGCAGCTTCTGTTCCTGAGTATGCTAGGCCGCTGGATGATGGCCTTTATCGTGCAATTGACATTTACCTAAAGGTGAATTTACCTCGCTAGATCCTCCAAGCTTGCAGGCTTTTAGTTTTAGGGTTCAGTGTCATTCCACTAGAATGCTATTAATGTTCCATGTGCTGTGCTGTGTTATTCCTACATTGCACCCTCAGATTTAGTAATTGAATCCAGGACTGAGGCCCAAAATATTTTCTCTTAGTCTTACAGTGACCTTTTATATATTTGCAGTGGGGGATATATGGCAGGGCTATGTGATGGGTTAGGTCTATCTTGTACTGATAGAGTTTCTGAGAAATATGACCTTATATAACAGGCAAACAACAGGGAGAAACCCATAAAAATAAGGTAAACAACTGAGTAGATTCAAGTCACTAGATTGATTAGATGCATATAATATGAAGGTAAGAAGCCTGTTGTTCTTTCCTTGTTGAAGCATGTGATCCACTGGAACCTGAAAGTAACCCCTAGTCTAGGGACCAGAAAAGAAAGAATGCAATTCTTCTACCACACTTTCTTAAGCGAGTTAGTAACCTCTTTAATGTTTTTGTATTTGTAGTCCCACCCATGGTTGGCGGAGGCTGACAGAGAACAACTCTGTAGGCTGATGGACTGCCAGAAGCTCTCCTTGGAAGCTTGCACACATGCTGCACAGAATGAGAGACTCCCTTTAAGAATTATAGTTCAGGTTCTTTTCTTTGAGCAGCTCCAACTAAGGACCTCCATTGCTGGCTGCTTCCTGGTCTCAGACAACCTCGATGGTGGTTCGAGACAACTAAGAAGTGGTTTGGTGGGACCAAATGAAGGAGGCTGGGCAACAGCGGTGAGGGAAAACCAGGTGTTAAAAGTAGGAATGGATAACATGAGAATGCGGGTTTCTGAGCTTGAGAAAGAATGCTCAAACATGAGGCAGGAAATCGAGAAATTAGGACGAGGAAAGGGATCTAGCACATGGGGTAGTGTGTCTAAGAAATTTGGATTCAGATTGAAGTCTCAAATGTGTAGTGCTCAGGAGGGATCCATCAGTAACCAGAACAGCAGCACTGGGAAGGCTGAGAAGGTCAAAGACAAGAACGGAAAGCAGAAGAAAAATTTGTCTCTGGATGATTAGCATTTTTTTCTTTTGGTTCTTTCACTTTTAGTTTGCTTTCCAGGTTCTTTCTTTTACCTCAGGATCAAAATTCCGCCTCATATTCTGTGTCTAATTTGGTTAGGTTGTTCATTGATTTATCCTGACCCTCACCTTTTGTAAAAGAAACTTTCTTATAAAGTGTAATTTTCTGTATCTTGTGACAATTACTGCATTCTCTACACCCCAAGCCCGCCTGCTGACTGGGCAAATGTTAAAATACTGTCAGTAAACTATTCAGGAGTTCTTAGTAATTTGGTCAGTAAACATTTTTATTTAGCCAAAATGGTCATTCAACTAATTAGAACATGCATTTTGTGACTGAAAACTATTTAACTAGAAGTGAAAGTTTTTATTAGTTGAGTGATCAAAAATATATTTATTTTATTAATTATATGATTCTTTTGCTGAAAATAGTTTAGTGATTTTTTGGCTATTTGCTCTAAAAAGACTTGACGGTATACGAATGATCCTCAGTAGCTTACTTTTAGACGGGACGTAGTAACTGTAAAACTTTGTAAGAGTTATCACAAGGTTTACAATTTGGCAAGTTAACTTGATAGATTATTATAGTCATTTTACTTAAGTTAAAATTTAATTGATCCAAGCATGATTGCAGTAGACACTAATTATGTTCTTTGGATCCAGATTCTTTGCGGTTATAGTAGTGATTGCAGAAGACAATTCATGATGATTGGATGGAGTGACTTAAAATTAGATGGTTGTGATTAAATTTGTAGGTACAGATTTGATGAAGAGACAAGTTGTGTTTTTGCATAGCGAAATTTATACAAATAGTAGTTTACATATTAGATTTGTACTTTTTACGTCTCTCACATATGGAATGATGATATTTCATCCATTACATATTAGTTTTGTACCTTTTATGTTTTTCTCACCCGAAATGATAATTTTTCATCCCTCACAAATGAAAAATGCATATTTCTAGCCCTTTAACTCATTTCTACTCATATTCTTGCCAAGAAAAAAAATCATGTGCAACACATGGCTCACAAACTTTACAGGTAAAATTGGAAGATCGTAGGAAAAAATAAAAATACATCCCTCACATTTCTTTTCTCTATGTCCTATTTTTCTAATTAAGAATATGGCAGTAGCCAAGGCTACCTCCTACCATCATGGCGGTGCTGCCATTCGTTACCACTACTTTTTAGTTACAAAATTTCATAAAAATTCAACTTCCTAATGAAATTTTGTAAAATTTTAATATTAGTTTTTGTGAAAAAAGGGAACCAAAATGGGTGAAAAAAAGTATTGATGGGTAGAATCTGCTACAAGTAATAGCCAAAATAATAAAAAAAAAGAAACAAAGCCAATGTCTTTTCATTAACTGTATGATTAAAAAAAACACAAAACGAATGTCAAAATCAGATTCTATCCGCTAGTGTTTTCCTTTTTTTTCTTTTTTTTTCCTGCATTTGTTCATTTTTGGCAAAGACTAATATGGAAATCAGATTCTATATGAAAAACTAAGTGGGGAGTTGAATTTTAGTAAAATGTTGTGATTGAAAGTGGCAATGGCCGACGACAGTCGAAGGCAACCATGAGTGCTACCACATTCTTGGTTAGGAAAATAGGACAACGAAGAAAGAAATGTGAAAGACGTTTTTTCTTTTTCTTTGCGATGTTCTAATTTTAGCCCTAAAGTTTGTGAGGCAAGATGTGTGCATTATTTTTTTTCAGTAAGAAATGAGAGGAGGGACTAAAAATATACATTTTTTATTTGTAAGAGACGAAAAATCATTATTTTATATGTGATGGACATAAATGATACAAAAACCAATATACAAGTATAAAAAATCATCATTTCATATATAAGGGATATAAAAGATAATGTGAGGGACTATTTCTGTGATTTTCCTTTTTGCGTATTGTTACCTTAGTATATACATTGGTGAATTTAATGGCTACATTGATTATATTACTGCTTTCGATCCATGTTCTTTAGAATGTACTCGAATTTCTTAGCTACTACTTTCTATGTTTAGGCATCTTTTTGACCAGCAAATCAAGATGAGATTGTCAATTTTCTAGTTAGGAAAAATTACACAAATTGTGATTCACATATTATTGATGTGAAATTTTAATCCCTTAGAATTGAAATGAGGGATTTTAATTCCTAACAAATAAAAAAGGGATAATTGCAGAAACATCCCCTGAGGTTTCTGACACTTGCACTGACCTCCCCTATGGTTTGAAAAATTGCACTAACCTCCCCTGAACTTACTAATCCTTTGCAAATTCAGTCCAAATGATTAAACTATTGTTTTAGAGAGTGAAATTAGAATTTTGTACCAGATTTGCCCTTTGTGTTACACGTCCAATGAATGACAAAGTACTATAAATCAATTAACAATTAATAAACTTTAAGGCGTGTAGTTTATGGGCAAATACGCATTACCCATTTAAAGTACCGGCTTTTTATGAATATTTTACTCTCAAACATTTAATTTATGATAAATATATCAATGTTTGTAAGTAAAATTCAAAAAGTGTTACAGTAATATTCTTACAAAAAGGAAATCGGTAGGTTATCTATTTAATATAAATTAAATATTTTTAAAAAAAAAAGAAATGCCCATAAAGTATTAATTCTTTATGGATTTCATCCATTAAATGAGTAAAGTATTGGCTCTTTATGGGCATTTTATTCTGAATCATTTAATTTATGTTAAATACATAAATGTTTGTAACTAAAATTGAAAAGGTGTTACATTAATATTTTTACGGAAAGGAAACTGGTAGATTTTGTATTTAACAAAAATTAAATATTTGAGAGTAAATACAAATCTTTGTACTCTCAAATATTTAATTTTTTTAAAATACAAAACCTACCAGTTTCCCTTCCGTAAAAATATTAATGTAACACTTTTTCAATTTTAATTGCAAACATTTATGTATTTAACATAAATTAAATGATTCAGAATAAAATGCCCATAAAGAGCCAATACTTTACTCATTTAATGGATGAAATCCATAAAGAATTAATACTTTATGGGCATTTCTTTTTTTTTTAAAAATATTTAATTTATATTAAATAGATAACCTACCGATTTCCTTTTTGTAAGAATATTACTGTAACACTTTTTGAATTTTACTTACAAACATTGATATATTTATCATAAATTAAATGTTTGAGAGTAAAATATTCATAAAAAGCCGGTACTTTAAATGGGTAATGCGTATTTGCCCATAAACTACACGCCTTAAAGTTTATTAATTGTTAATTGATTTGTAGTACTTAGTCATTCATTGGACATGTAGCACAAAGGCCAAATCTGGTACAAAATTTTAATTTCACTCCTTAAAACAATATTTTAATTGTTTGGACTGAATTTGCAAAGGATTAGTAAGTTCAGGGGAGGTCAGTGCAATTTTTCAAACCACATGGGAAGTTAGTGCAAGTGTTAGAAATCTCAGGGGAGGTTTCTGCAATTATCCCAATAAAAAATGCTCACTTTTGATCCTTCATCACCTTTATGATGAAATTCTGGTCGGAATAGTTCACGGATCCATTATGTGATTAATTGTTGAAGGGCAAATTTGGCAACTCATTTAGTTTTGACCAATTTCTCTCTTAATCTATCATTTCTCACAATTATTCTCCTAATGCCACACTAACTAAAATAATGCATTTTCAATAAAACTTTATTTCTCTATTTTTATTTCTTTTTCCTTTCTTTCTTTTCCTTTTCTTATTTTTTCTTTTTTTCTTCCTTTTTCTATCATCTTCTTCCTTTTATTTTCTTGGAAAGTTAACAAAAGTTGCGATGGTGGATTCCGCCTGTAACGACCCCACCGCTCTCTAGGGCGTATCCCAGGATTTAGCGGACCGTCTGTCCAACTCTCGCCAGGACTCGCTCACTTACTTTAATAAAAATAAGTTACAACCTCAAGAGTAAATGAAACCATAGTTCCCAAGCTTGGAACGTATATTTACATTCATTTCTATTTCAAACATTCATACACCTCCCAAATATAACAAAAGATTAAAATTCTAGATAAATTCAACCCTAATCGAACACTAGCGTGAGTACAATTGCAAAAATTCAAAAACTAGACTATGCTAGCCTGCACCAACCTCACGCCCTCGCTCGTACCCCCTATAAGGAAAACAAAAACTAATAGGGTGAGTCAAAACTCAATGAGATTCCAAAACAATATGCAGACCCAAGTAGCAAGTTAACCACTATTTAAAATTGAAAACATCAAAGTAGCGAGCATAAGAGTTTGTAACATGAGCAATAACACTTCACATAGCAGTCATTAAGTAAATAACATTTACAAGTAAAAGGATACAGTCGCCTTTGCGAGTTAACTCCGTCATAGCTTTATCAAGTAGTAGTTGACACTCCGTCAACTTTTAAGTACAGTAACCAGTTCAGTAGTGCCCCACTTAACTCCACTCTCCGTCCACCATTCAATCCACCTACCGGGTCCAAATTCCAAGATAAATACTGGTGATAATACTCGAGCATACCGATTAGTCGAGGAGATAACACTTCACTCGACAAACAAGAGACCTAGGGTTCATTATCTAATCGACCTGGCCTTTACCGGTTCGACTCGATTAACTAGCCACAGGGTTTCTGGAATTCCAAACAGTATTCAAATCATATACGTGTATATCAAGTCAATTGCAACCAATAAACAATAATATGTCATATTAGGGCAAGTGCGATAAAGTACACCCTTGCCCATGCAAACAAGGCAAATATTTCATTCAAATATCAAGTTCGATCATATACTTGGAAACACTTACCAAAGACTTATGACTTTTCAAAACCACGTTCAGGTGCAACTCCCTGATTGGAGTCCAAATCTGCGATAAAATATCATTTAAGAGTTTGAAAGTAATTAGGGTTCGAAATATAGGAGTTTCGCTTAAAGAATATCAAGTAAATGAAACTTGTTTAAATAGTATTCATTTTACTTATCAAACTCTAAAAAATTCATGCTCGCTCTTTTGATTTTGATAAAGAAGCGTTTAACACTTATAAGTTCGTAACTTGGTATAAAAGACGAGAAAATCGTATTTAAAGTGGTCGCTACTTTTGCCTTATAAAGTGTACGAGTTTTGGCAAAATTTCAGTTTATATACTTCTACTAAAGAAAACTTGAATACTCTAAACAACCGAAGTCCAATTCGTCCACGAATCACTGCTCAAGTTCCAACTTCGCTCCGCTTATCCTACGGAAGAAAATTTGGGTAGCATATCCTTTGTATTTATCAATTTTCTAGGGGTTAAAAACAAAAAAGCCCCCTGTGATAAACCTAATACACAGAAAAGTCCCCCATGGTTTCAAAATATACAACACGACCCCTCATGCTTTGAACTAAATTGTAAAGGTGACGGAATCCGTTAAACTTAACGGAAATGACATATTGGAACCTAAAAAAAATTTTTTATACCTAATTTTTATCAAATATACCTATTCTACCCCTTAACTCTCAATTCTCTCTACTTAGAAAATAAAATAAATGATTTTTTGAGCTGTTTTTTTGTTGAATTATATCAGGGTATTTTGGTCATTTTGACCATTTCCGTTAAGTTTAACGGATTCCGTCACCTTTACAATTTAGTTCAAAGCATGAGGGGTCGTGTTGTATATTTTGAAACCATGTGGGGCTTTTCTGTGTATTAGGTTTATCACAGGGGGCTTTTTTGTTTTTTACCCATTTTCTAGCCATTTAAGGCTTCATTTTTTTTTCCCTCAAATCAACCCAATTCAAACACCACAAGTAGGCATATCAAGATAGCTCGTCATCTAGGCTAAAAACCATCAAATTTAACAAATACTCATCCACTATCAAAGTTGGAATTTTCTCACCAAAGCTGAAATTTCATCTTTTAAAGTTAAAAAGTCACAATCATGCTACTAATCACCTCACAAATTCATATCCAAGTTCAATACCAACATTTTATAGTTAATCAACATAATCAAGGCTGAAAATTACCAAACCCTAGCTGAAATTTCACTAATCAACACCAAAACTAGAAGATCATCCATAATATTCCAAGATTCAAGCCATCTTCATCATATTTAGCTAGAATAAGAAAGAGAAAGGAAGTTGATAAGCTTATACCTTCCAATACTTTTTGAAAAGTGAAGAACCAAGCAAATTTTCCAAAGAAATTCACCACACCAAGCTTCGTAACACCCTTGATGTAAGTTTAATCGGTTTAGATTTTTGTGATTCAACTCAAACAAGGCAAATCAAGGTTGTAGTTGGAGGTTTCTTCTCTTTTTTTCTCTCCCAAGGATCGGCCAACTCAAGAAGAAAATGAAGAGAATTTAGCAAAAAGGAAAGATAAGAAGGAAGAATTTGGCTTGGTCAAACATTTCCTTGATTGCCAACGCTTGGCAACTCAAGGTTCTTTCTTTTTTTTTTTTCTTTTCTCACCTTTCTTTAGTCAAAATTTTCGGCTGGTTTAGGGCTTAATTTAGGACTGATTAGATGAAATAAAACCAAGAAGATTAGGGTAAGAAAGTAATGGTCAAGTGGTGTACTCAATCGGTAACAAACGGTGCACGTCGGTTCAAGTCTATTTTCCTTAACTCTCTCGTACTTGTGTTTTAACTTATGATTCACTAACTTATTAATAGCACTTCTAATCACACACTTCCTCTTACCTAATACTCACTCTTATCCACCAAATTTGGTACACACATCTCACCAACTAATCACACTACCAAAATGCGCAAAACCCTAATTTACCCTAACTCTCAAAGTAAAAGTAAAACTCTCGATTCTATCATTTATTACAACTATTGAGGGAGTAATTTAGTAGTAAAGAAATTATAAATTAACTTATTCAAAATAAAAGAGAATTTTAAGAAAATATGAAGAATTTTGCAAGTCCTCACACCGCCGACGGCTATGGTAATACTGCCGTAGACAAAAATGGTCAAAATGGCCAAAATGTGGTTTCTTTTTACTTTTTTCCATCAAAACATTACAAAAATTGAATTTTTAGCAAAATGACCCATATGAAATATACAACTTCAGTAAAACCCCAAAATTAGCCATATAACCTCAAGAATCAACAAAATTACAACAAATGTTTGAAACTTTAGAAAACCCATTTTCATGGTTTTTAAAAAATAGAGGGAGAAAACAAAATAGACCTATTTACAAGACCCATAACATAGGGGAAAGAAGAGGAGAAAGGAAGGAGAGGTGGAAGAGGTGGCAAGTGAGGAGTGAGAGGTCAGATGGCAATGGTGGAAATGGGAATGGTATGGGTGGATGACGGTGAAAGAGGAAAATAAGTGATCTGGATTTGAGTTTGTAAAATTAGGATTTGGGCAAAGAATAATTAGGAAAAATGGTAGATCAAATGAGAAATATTAAATGAGTCACCAAATTTGTCTTTCGAAAATTGATCATATGATTGGTTCGTGACATATTTTGGCAAAAATTTGGGAGGAAAGGTAACGAGGGATCAAAAGAGAGGGTTTTTTTTCAATTTATTAAAAGCTAAACTCGCTCATTTTGATTTTAAGGGACTAAAATTTCATATCAATAATATGTAAGAAACAATTGGTGCAATTTTCTCTTCTAATTATCTTGTTTGCTTGCTCGAGGCACATTGGGGAACATTTGAACTTTGTACGTAAAATAACGGAGACCAAAATGAATAATTGTTTGACAATTGGCGCTAATCATAACTTCAAGAAAGACAAAAGGGGAAAAAAAAAACGAAAATAGCTACTACCAGATTTTTGTTATTAAAAAAAGGGAAAATCGTTCAAAACATTCCTTATATTTTGCAAAATAACTTTTTCCGTCCCTTACTTTTAAAAGTGTAATTTTACGTTCTTTATAAATTCACATTGATCAAATTTGGTTCCTACCTAGGTTTCCGACTAGTTTTTAGTCTGAATCCACCACGTACCTTGCACGTGATTATTTTTAAGGGGCAAAATTGTCAAATCAAAATTTACATAATCTAAACTAGAATCCCTCACATTTCACAAAATAAATTTTTTCTTTCCTCACATTTCACAAAATGAATTTTTTCATCCCTCATATTTCATAAAATGAATTTTTTTATCCCTCATTGACCATGTATATGAATAAAATTTTTTTATCCACGTATATATCTATTTGATTTCACATGAATAATACGAATAGCATGTAATATCTCTCTATTTGATTTTACCTAAACAGGTTAATTGTTATTGTACACATACTATTCAATAGATATATTTATTTGATTTCACCATGTGAATTTGTTCAATATTTGTAATCTTTTCTCTTTTAGTAATAATTCATTTATTGAGTTGTATAATAAGGTCATCTAATTAATGCATCCTAACTTGAATTCTATAGTCATACTAACTTGAATTGTAGTTTAAATTTGAAATTTCTACTTGCGACTTTTAAGACCAACAATTGAATTACTTGTCTTGTGATTGTTTTAAAATTTGAAAGTGCTAATTACTTATTTCTTTTTGTCATACTTTTTCTTTGATTTTTTTATTCAAATTTAATTCGATATAAACATTCGACAATGTCCAAATTATTTGATTTTGTCTAAATAGGCTAATTATAATTGTACACATGTTATTTGTATTGTTCAAGTAAAATTAAATAGATATATATATGAATTTTTTTTAAAAAAACTATTCATACATATGATCAATGAGGGACGAAAAAATTTATTTTGTAAAATGTGAGGGATGAAAAAATCCATTTTGTGAAATGTGAGAGACAAAAAAATTTATTTTATGAAATATGAGGAACTATGGATCGAATTGTGTAAAATTAATTTGATAATTTTGCCCTTAAAAAAAAATCACATACAAGGCACGTGATGGATTTCGACTAAAAACTAGTCAAAAACCTAGGTAAGGACCAAATTTGACCAATATGAATTTATAAGGGACGTAAAATTAAACTTTTAAAAGTGAGTCACGAAAAAAGTCATTTTACAAAATGTGAGGGATGTTTTGAACGATTTTCCCTTTAAAACAATTAGAAAAAGATAGTTGAGTCCGCTACTATGTTTGTGAACAAAGTGCCCAAAAAAGAAAACAAAATGTTCCTGAACAAATTTCTTTATTGGACAAAATTGAAAATTCTGGAATGAACAGTACACGTACCAGTAGGGTCCCTTTAAAATATCATAAAAGGAAATCATTTTGGACAAATTTGAAAACTTTGGAATGAACAGTACACGTCTCTTTCTCTCTCCCCATCTTTTTATATTTTTTTAATATTAATAAGATTGCCAAGAACAAAGAGATTAATATTTTGACTTTTTTTTCCTTGATACAAAAAAGGAGAAGAGCGACTCTAAATTTTTTTATACAAAGAGGAGGGCAATTTCTTCTAAATTTTTTTAACTTGCTAAATTGGTTTAATGGTGGGATAAATTATCCAAAAAATAACTTTAGAGGATAAATTGATAATGAGATTATAGTTTATAGGGGTAAAGTGATAATAATTTTAAGGGATAAACATGTCTTTTTATTTTAATTAATAAATTCCGTTAAGTTTGATCGTTAGTTTTGGAGGTAAAGTGACTAAAATATAACATTAAGGGGGATATTGGTAATAACACTGAACGTTAAGGCGGTAAAGTGATAATAACCTATCAATTTTAGCCTTGTTATTTTTGTCCCAACCAATTAGGGAGAAGAGAATGTGGAGGAGGGCTTTGGTGACAGGAAAAAAAACATAGAAATAATTAAATTTTGAAAAAAAAAAGGTAATTACAACCCGTAATAAAATTAAGGGGAAAATGAAAAAAAAAATCTGTGACAGCTTGATAATGTGCCAAACAAAAAAAAAAACCAAAAATACAAAAAAGGGGAAATGAAAACACTAAAAACACCTTAGACTCCCATAGGCCATAGAGCATCGGAGGCTGGGATCTCTCTTCAAGAACTTGCCCCAGCGTCATTCCTTGACCGATATTTTGATTATCTTTTAGTCTTTAATTCCCAATTTCCAACAATATTTGATTAATAAATACTTGCTTTTGTATACCCTTTATATAGTTGACTATTGTTTTAAGTATGCAATAGTAAAAATTCAAGAATCATTCAATCCTTCACATCATCACCAATTTTGATTACCTGGGTTCTGCTCAGTCAGCCAATCAGGTTTTTCAACTTGCCCTTTTCTTTCTTTTTGTTTTTTAATTGGAGACAATGCTTTTCTGTTAAGATAATCTGCTGTTAATCTCCTGAATTAATATACTACTAGGTAGATTCATGTTTCTGTTTATTCTGATTAAAGTGAAAGTGGGAATATATTCTGATTGAAACACGTGATTCTTTTGCTGCAACTTGTTTCAACATTCAGGTGAAATTCAAAGGACTCGTGTCAAATTCGTTCCTTGTATCTTTATTCTTGTATTGAAGTCCTGGACTGGAGATGAGAGCAATTCTTAGGTCCATTAGACAATTTAGATCAGCTTTGCGATATAGAGGAGATATATTCTATAATGGGCTCTCAAAAAGACAGCATTGTCGGGTTAATAAGAATGGAGGGTCAGTCTACTATACGCCTCAGTGTACAGATTTTTGGAGATGCCAGCATCCTTCTTACATGATCTCGAGAGCTTTGCATACTGATGCCGTTAATGTAGCTAATGGAGGTTACTATCTAACTATGATTCAGTTTATAGTTTGGGAAAATTAGGGAAAAGGGCGCACTAAGATGCCTAACTAATGAAGAGGGCACACTTTTGGGCAATTAATTTTGAATGGAATTCGTATTGCATTTTTTACAAAATATATGCTAAATGTTTTTCTTGAAAACTTTGTAGATTTAGCACAAATGGCTTCATAATAAATACCTGAATGTCGTGCCTCTTTGTGAATTAAGCATCCAAACTTGCCCTTTTCACGAATTTTCTGTTCTGCTTTTGTTATTTGGTTACACTTGTTTCGTAAGGTTGATGTTCTCCTCTTGGCTGGTTATTGGTTCCATTGGTTTTATTGCAGAATTAATTCAAGGAGGTCCTCTTGTAGAATATGAACGAAGAATAGCTGCTGGTGAACTTGTGGATGGAGATATTTGCCAGGTTGCTAGTACAATAAAACAATACATCATGCAATTTGGTGGTGGATTTGTAATTTGGATTTTTGTTTTCCAAGTGTATTTGGGTGCCAGTTTGAGCGGGAAAATGGAAATATTGATTATAAGAATTTGACCATTATTTGCATCTTGCTAAGTTTCTCAATTCCTTCTGTCCATAATTTGTTTTAATGAAATAGGGTTTCCTTTTTAGCTTTTGTAATTATTGCCGTACTAGGTTTCTTGTATTCTTTGTTAATGTGCTGGTTTGAATTAAACATCCTGGTTACTGGTAATTTTGGTACTTAAAATTGAATTATCTAAAAAAATTGTATTTGCTTGAAATCAAACATGGATATTTGGAAGGAAAAAGTTGATATTAAGCAAATTATTACTGTGCCATGAGATTACTCATAAGAGTGAGCCCTATGTTGTTATTTTGCCTGTCAAAGACATCCTGACATTGATTTGCAGTTAGGCACCCTGAGACAACTGCAGAGACTCTATGATGAGCTGGTCGAGAAAGCTGATGCTTGCCGACTTGATCGATATACAGCTTCGGAGAAAGCAGGAAGGTGAACCTTACCAAGCTCTCAATCATTTGTTGTTAATCGTTATGAATCTGTAGTCCAATGTAATTGTATCCAAGTATCATTTCATTTTTTCATTTCAATCATTTTTCAAGTAAGTGTCAGCAATTTGTCACTCTTTTGCTTATTTCAGGAGTCGGTGGTTGTGGTCACGTTTCATACCACAGTCTTCATATGCTCCTGTGAAAGGACTCTATCTTTGTGGAGGAGTTGGTACTGGGAAAACTATGTTGATGGACATGTTTTTTGATCAGTTGTAAGTATAAGACTAAAAATGATATAGAATGATAATTTGTGTCTGCATTTTGATTGCTATTGAGTGTGCAAACACGTAAAATTATTGCCGTTCAACTGTTCACTTGATTTTCAGGCCTTGCAATTGGAGGAAGAAAAGAATTCATTTTCATGACTTTATGCTGAATGTCCACAGCCGCTTGCAAGTATGAATTTAACCCCTGCAGTCTTCTAATTATGATTATTTTTTAGGTTCTAATTATCAAGATTTATTTCCTAGTATTTAATGTATATTTGCTAATGGACTGGTTACTGGTTGATAGTCAATTGGAGCTCTTGCTGACTATCCCAATGTGCAATGCTTCTATACTAACCAACTAATGCCTGCTAATCTCTCCATTAACCACTTATTTCTTATTTTCCTTCATCAAATGATATGTTAAGGTATCTAATGCTTATTCATGCTGGCTATGTCTATGAATGATTTGATTTAATTGTAATTTGATACAATTTACTCTTTGATGCAATACTAAAGAATTTATTGAAACACTTTTCCTTGAACTCCTACATTTGCAGAAGCACAACGGTGTTGCTGATCCCCTAGAAGTTGTTGCTGGAGAAGTATCAGATGAATCAATCTTGTTATGTCTTGATGAATTCATGGTAATGAGAATTGTGTAATAATTGTATTACTTTTGTGTTTGTAAAGTATGTGTACTACCACAGAAAACTTTTGCTGTGATCCTGGATCAGTTTGAGTTTGTCTAGTACCAGATGAGCTCATAGAGTTGTGAAGCTAGTAATGGAGCATAAAAACGAATTCTCCTCCACTTGCTTACTTTTGTCTGAGAGTCTTCCTGTATCTATGTAGGTTACTGATGTTGCTGATGCATTGATACTAAATCGTTTATTTAGGCACTTATTTAGCCATGGAGCTGTAAGTAATTCGAACTTTCTTCAAATTTGTTTTAATGGCTTCATACTTTATGGAGACTTGTTAAAATAAGAAACTGAAGCTTTGTATTTGGTTGATGATGGGGATAAGTGTAGATCCTTGTTGCTACATCAAACCGTGCTCCTGATAATCTTTATGAGCGTGGACTTCAAAGGGATCTCTTTCTTCCTTTTATAGCTTTACTGAAGGTATGAATCTCAAGGATTAATGGTGATTAGCTACTCTAATTCCTAAAAGTTATGTTTTTTGCGCTGATCATCTTTATGACATTTGAACTAATCTGATTGCCTGGTCCTAGAGATTATTTCATTCGTTTAAAATGACTATGAATCCAATAGTATGAGTGAGAAAGCTTTCACAACACACGCACATGCATTCTCTCTCTCTCTCCACCAATACTTGTATTTTCTACCTTGTGCTTATATTCTCTCTTTTTGTTGATGTCTTGCCAACTGGTATTTTTGATATCTGTTTTGAGACAGGAAAGATGTATTGTTCATGAAATTGGGTCATCAGTAGACTACCGTAAGATGACTTCGGTAACGTATCATATTCATCTGATTTACTCTATGAGAAGTTATTTTTGCTTATGTGTAGTTATGGTTTCCGATTGCATAAAATCTAGTAGTACCACTATTTCACAAAAACAAAGAATTAGCTGTGTGACTAGAGACTTTTCTCTTGCAATGCAGGCACAGCAGGGTTTCTACTTTGTTGGGAAAGACCTGTCAAGCCTTCTAAATGAAAAGTTTCACCAGTTGATCGGCAACCACAAAGCTGTACCACAAGAGGTGGAAGTAGTTATGGGAAGGACATTGCAGGTGTGTACATTGTCTGAGATTTGCAATGGTCTTGGAGAGGTGGGTGAGTGGTGTTGAATGCGTGATTGTTTCTCATTCTTTTCTTATTTACTGACTTTTCAGGTTCCGCTGGGTGCTAATGGCTGTGCCTATTTCCCGTTCGAGGAACTCTGTGACAGACCACTTGGGGCTGCAGATTATTTTGGATTATTTAGTAAGTCTTTTGGCTTTTCAATTCTCCATCCCCCCCCCCCTCCCCCTTCTTTTTCTGGATTTTGGACATAAAATATAGACACTGGTGGCTTAAGGATGGTTATCTGTTTTGCCCTAATTATTCTTAGCTGCAATGGATAATTAAGCACACAGTCATACATGTTTCGAAGAGCCGCTGATCAATGCTGTTCTTTTGAGCAGAGAAATTTCACACACTGGCTTTGGAAGGTGTGCCAACTTTGGGTCTCCACAACAGGACTGCTGCATATCGGTTTGTCACTTTAGTTGATGTTAGTCCTTTTCCTTGAAAAATCAATATCTGTTCAGGTTTTGTTATTGGTTAATGAATCCTCGTAGTCCTATATTAGAGCAAAATCCTCTAAATTTATCCCTATAGGACATGCTGCAGTACAACGTGTAGATCCTTTTTAAAACAAAAATCAAATACTCTGAGAAGAAACTTCTGCACATCTATTATGTTCTAGGGCATTCAGTTCTCTTGAGGGAACAAGATTTGACATTTTACACCCCATCATTGGATAGGTGATGTATGAGAACAAGGCTAGACTCTTATGCACAGCTGAAGGGTCTCCACTTGAACTTTTTGAAAAGATAGTGACGATTGCTGATGCTCAGCAAATGTCACCCAGAACTTCTTCTAGATCGAGGAAGAGTGATGATTCTGACCTTTGTGTGGACAATGAACTGGGCTTTGCAAAAGATCGTACCATTAGCAGGTAGATTTTGTTTACCACCAATCAGCTAACCTAAATGGTTTGTGATCCCAGACATGCATGTGGTGCATAATTTGTGACCCATTCATTATGTAGCATTCCTGATTTGGGCTCATTCACTCCACTGAGTTCTTAAAATGTATATTTGTTGTCTTAAAATCTAATGTAGATTAACCGAGATGAATAGTCGGGAGTATTTAGAGCAACATGCTGCAATGGTGGCGGAGATGCAGCAGTTGCCTGCGGATAGCAGTAAGGATGTTTTACATGCTTAGTTCCGTGACGGTATTTGTAACATTGCCATTTACCCTAAGCTGGGAAGTTGGTGTTGTCTGTAAGGTGATGGAATTACAGCACATTGTTACAACAGAAGCTGGCGATTATTTTATACGTCTAGTTTCATAGGTTTTTTTCTTCTCTTTTCATATATATTTGTTCAAGTGATAATTATTTTATGGGTCTTAACAAATTTGTTATTTGGTAAAGCGTTCATGCAACAGTTATGATGACAGCTTGAGAGAAGCATTTGTTGTACAGACCATGTTTCATAGATAGGCTTGCTTTTTTTCATAGCTGCTTCAAGAAAACTCTATGCTGTTATGATGATGTTGTATTTATAACTTGAATCATGATGGTAGACAATTCTATCTATAATCCTTGGAAAGAAATTACATGACAAAGTATTGTGAATTCTTGAAACTTTTCAGCTTTTTGACTCCGACATCTTGTACTCTCAAAATTTTGTGGAGTTTTAATCTTCAGTTAATGCATCACTGAAATACTATGAGAGGTTTTAAATTTTCAAGTTCTTACAAATTCTTATAACTATGTTTTACTTTCAAAATTTTGGAGGCAACTTATCAGAAACCCCTTCTTGTGCACTCCGAAAGTTAGTATTCACTCTCGTGCATTTAAAAATTGGTAACTTACCTGTTACCCTTCAAATGGTTTTCACAGATATATATATATGAACACAACTTTTTAGATTCCATCTCTTAAAGAGCTCCAAAATTTCGGCTAATTCCTTAAAATATTGTCCAAAAAGAAAATCCAATAAATATGATTCTGACACTCTTGTATTCTTAATCTATGAGTCAGCATGGCAAGCTGTTGGAGAAAATAGGGATTACAAGTGCATGGAACTTACAATAAAACTATTACAAAAATAATTTCAAGAATTTGACTAAACTAATTTTTAGGGAATTCAAAAGAGTTTTCAAGACATGTAATCACTTTGCTTAAGGTGTTATTTGCCCCACTATCCTGCTAACCGAGATAAAATGACAAATTACCCCTAAGGAAACGAAAACTAGCCTATGGCAAGTTTAACCTTAATTTTCATAAGATAGGAATGAAAGAATTTGGTTTTGCAAATCTAAAATAACTTAATTAAGCACAAGTTGCCACAAGATAGGTTTAGACTAGCTCTATTTATAGGCAATCTAAGAGCAAAAGTACATGAACTTCACTTCATGTCGATTTATGAATATAGTACACCAAATACATAAACTAATGCACTTGAGAAGATACAATAATGTATCTTCACTTAATGTCCATTTATAAATTTAGTACTTCAAGTACATGAATTGAATAGTTCCATGAACTAATGAACTTAAGAAGATGCATCAATGTATCTTCACTTAATATCCAATTATGAATTTAGTACACCAAAGAAATGAATTGAGTAGTTCCATAAATAAACTAATGAACTTGAGAAGATACATCAATGTACCAATGAATCTTATAGGAAATTCATAAATCAAACTTCTAGACATGAAAAAAATATCATATCACAAGTCATGATCAATTTTCATAATACAAACTAAATTCCAATATCCCCCCACTTAGTTTGTAGTATGAAATGATAAACCAATACTTATGATATCATGCATAAAGAGAAGTAACTTTCGTTTTAAACTTTTCCTTGGTGCAAATAATTCACAAGTTCTAATCAAATCAAGATGGCTAGATTGCTTAAACCAAAATTTGAAATTAGAATAGAATTATCACGCACATGAACTAATCAACTTGCATCCAACAAGCACATATCATTATTAGCACTATTACCGGCCATGTGCTCATCCTAATTCATGATCAAGCATAAAAGATTACTTTAAACTTTTACTAGAAGCGGCACCACTTCTATTATCATATAGGTAAACTATATTTCTAACTTTAACAAATAAAACACTAAGAAAATATGTTTATTAAAAGAATACTTCTCAACTTGCACAATTAAGAGTAATATGATGTACTACCACTTGGAATGGTATACACAAAAAATTGTAGTACTCACAATCACTTATTAGCAACTTGTTTTTACCCTTTAAACATTTCTAACTAGGGGTAGTACTAGAAGAAGGTTGGGTAATCATTGCTAGTGATTCTAGATAAAAAATTTTAATCCCATTCCCGATGTTGTCGAATTCACCAAGTCTCTTGCAAGAGTTTTAGTCAACGGATCCGCTAAATTATTATAAGTTCTTACAAACACAACTGTGCCAATGCCATCATTCAATATTTGTCTAATATAGCTGTATCTCAAACTTATATGTCTAGATTTACCATTTTATATTTTATTCAATATTCTAGACACTGTAGTCTCACCATCACAAAACAATGCGATTGCAGGCATAGGACGAGACCACAAATTTATATCAAATAATAAATCTCTAAACCACTTTGCCTCTCTACATGCAGAAGCTAAAGTTATGAATTCAATTTCCATGGTGGAATGAGTAATTACAGTTTGTTTCTTTGAAACCCAAGAAACAGCTCCACCACCCAGCATAAAAATCCATCTTTTTTTTTTGAAACGATAGTTTGTATTGCTTATGTCAAAAATATATACAATCTGAGCAAAGGCTCAAGGATACTTTACAAGTTGTGCAACTTAGCACAAGGGAACTGGATAAGTCCATTCCACATCTTGATTTCTACTCAAAGCTTGAGCACTAATTATGTAGCTTAGATCCGTATTTTCTATTCCTACCAAACAAAAAGAGCACATTAGAAACAAAATACTTAGCGCTTGTATATCTTCCAACAACGTAGCCACCCAGCTGTTCCTGTTCGCATTCCTTTGCAGTTGATTCAGCAGCTCCTTACTGGTTGTTTCAACAGTAATTGCAGTCCATTCCTGTTCCAAGGCTTTAATTAATGCATAACGTATAGCTTCAGCTTCCTGTTGAATGTTGCATCCTGTCATCTTTTCCCTTAGTCCCTATCCTGCTATGTAGCATCCTCCTCCATCTTTGGCAGCTATACCGTAGCCAACAGTGCTTGTCTCTTTTTGCCTTGAAACTGCAACTCTTAGTACTCTTTTCCATGTTCTTGTGTTGAGTGTGTGTTGCCTTTCTGCCCTGATTTGTTGCTGTGGTATTTCTGTTACTTACTGTCTTATCCATACTTTGAAACTCTAGCCATTCATTACTGGTCTTAGTGATGATTCTCATAGGTTCCTTTACTTTGGTCTCGAACATTCTTTCATTCCTTGCTTTCCAAATGTGCCAAAGTATAGTTACTGTGAGTGCAATGTGTTCCATCCCCTGTTGTCCACGTCTTGCTTCAATAACTGACGACCACCATTTTTTGAAGTTGCCAGTTGATGCAATGATTCCATCCCATCGAATGGGCGCTAGTTTCCAAATCTCTTTAGTCCAGTCACATTCAAAAAATATGTGTTCCATTGTTTCCATCCTTTCCCCACAACCTTTACAGTAGGGGTCCCCCTTATGCGTTCTCCTCCATATTAGTTCATTCACTAGTAGTCCCTCACTTAAGTACTTGCACATAAACACTTTTAGTTTGTGCTTGACTAGCACTTTCCACAGTACTTTCCATATAGGAGACTTGGGATTAGTATAGCTTGTGCTGTCTACTTGTTGTTCACCTTTGGTTTTGTTCTGTTTCTTCCTTCATATTCTCCTGTAACCTGACTGTACATTGTATTCTCCATTTTTATTATCTGGCCAGAAGGTACTGTTCTCTTTGTCAACCACACTAATTGGAATACTTAGGATATCTTCAGCTTCCTTCTCCTTATAAAGCCTGTATATCAGAGGCCTGTTCCACCTATGCCTAGTTATCAAGTCCGCCACCTTCTGCAGAGTGCAGCCTAGTGGTTTTTTGGTTATTGGTTGGCCTTGATTGCAGTTAGGAATCCATCTATCTCAGATTCTGGTGCTTCTTCTGGTTCCTATTCTCTTTCTGATTCCATCATCTAGCTCATTTCTCACTCCAATTACACTTTGCCAAAACTATGAAGCAATTTTTGGTACCTTGCACTCCATTATGGACCCTTCTGGATAATATTTGGCTTTTAGAACTTTGCTCACTGGGAGGTTGGGCTTGGTGATGAATCTCCACAACTGCTTTGCTAGCAAGGCACTGCTAAAGTTTTGCAAGTCTTTAAATCCCAATCCTCCTTCCAGTTTTTCTTTTGTCATGTTCTTTCAGGAGACCAGCTGCATTTTGCTTTTCCCACCTATTTCACCCCACCAGAATTTTGTCATTAGTGCACTAATGTCCTTGCATTGCCTGTTTGACAGTTTGAAGCAAAACATAGTATACGTTGGCATTGGCATTGACACTGCTTTCAATGGTACCTCTTTTCGTGCTGAACTCAACATCTTGCTCTTCCAGCTCATTATCCTCTTGCTAATGTTATTCTTGATGAATCCAAACAGCTGATCTTTGGATCTGGAAATGACCATAGGAAGTCCTAAATATTTCCCTTGTGACACTGGTTTAATATTCCCCAAAATTTGGCAGATTTGCCTTTTCTGCTCCTCTGGATTAGCTGTTTTTGGGGATGTTTTTGAAAAATTTTACTGTAACAGAGTTTTTAAAGTATATTTTGGAATATTTTTAGTATATATTTTGGAATATTTAAGAATAGTAGAGTTTTTAGAATATATTTTGGAATATTTTTAAATATTTAAAAAATTTAGACTACTTTTTTAGAGTACCTTAAAAATTTTTATAATATTTGAAAAACTAATTTTTGAAAAACTCAAGGATCCAAACAGAGCTGCTAAAGAATGCACTTGATTTCTCCAAGTTAACCAGTTGTCCAGATGTTGATTCATATCTGTGCAGCAACTCCATTAGCTTCCTAGCTTCAGTAGTTCCTGCTTTGCAAAACACTAGAGAATCATCAGTAAATAGCAAATGTGTAAGAGTTGGTCCCCTCCTACTGATTTTCAATCCCTTGATTGTCCTTTATTGATCTGCCCTTTTTAAAAGATTGGAAAAAGCCTCAGAGCATATGAGAAATAAATATGGTGAAAGAGGGTCTCCTTGCCTAATTCCCATACTTGGTGAAATATACTTCTTTAATTCCCCATTAACATTAAAAGAGTATGAAATAGTGTTGACATATTTCATGACCCATTCTATCCACAAATCACAGAAACCCATTTTCCTCATCATGGCTTGTAAGAAAGGCCATTCCACCCTATCATAAGTCTTAGCCATGTCCAATTTCACAGCCATAAATCCATCTTTTCCATATCTTTTGTTTTTCAGGAAATGTAAATATTCATGAGAAATAATAATATTATCTAGGATCTGTCTCCCAGGGACAAATGCAGCTTGATTTTTGCTAATGCAAGTATTAAGGAGTGGTTTTAGTCTATTTACCAAAATCTTTGAAATGACCTTATACACCACATTGCATAAACTAATAGGTCTATAGTGTTTCAGGTCAGTGGGGCAATCAACTTTAGAAATCAGGGAAATAACAATGTGGTTTAGAGCCTTAAGCATGAATTTGGATTGGAAAAAACTTTGAACTGCATTTACCATCTCTAGTTTAATGATATGCCAGAATTTTTGGAAAAAAATAGGAGACATACCATCCAAACCAGGGGCTTTGTTGGGATCTGTCGCGCCCTATTTTTTGAAAAATAAAATTACAAGTTGTAAAAATGGATTTTTGATTAATCTTGAGTGAAAATGAGTTTTTGATTTTTAGAGATAAATAAAGAAAAATGGCCTAAAATGGGACTTAAAAAGTGCGACGGTTTTGACCCAAAATAATACTCCCTCCGTCCCATTGAAACTGTCATGCTTTCCATTTTGGTCTGTCCCAAAATGTTTGTCACATACCTAAAATGGCAAATGAACTTTTCTCCTTCTTCTAATTTTACCCTTCTAACACTACCTTTAAATATGTGGGTCCAGCATAAATTGTCAAAAGAACAAGACACGCTTTGAAGTGCGTGGCTGATGCTAGCCAATGTTTACTAGCGCGTGCAGTGCAAAATAAGCAAAAAGTTAGTGTAGCTTTAATAATGTTGTGGGCCCAAAGTGTTGACTAGTTTACATAAACCATTTGAATAACTTCATCCGCACCACTATAGTCAAAATTTGGACAGCTTGCCGGGGATAATTTGGGAATTACAGACAGCTATCTCTTATTCTTATCTACTATTGAAAAATATTCCAATTCCCGAAAAGTGACAAACTTTTCGGGATGGAGGGAGTAGTTTAAAAGGATTTTTAAGAAAAAAATAAGAGTCGCCAAGCTGTCGCGCCCTTTGATTGCCTTTTGCGTGGTGAAGATGATATCGAATTCAAAAAGGATCATTTGCCATTAGCCATGCATCCGGTCGGCATTGGTTTCTCCAATAAGTACTTCAAAACATCTAAACGAAAGATAAGATAGGTGGTGTAACTAAGCAAATAATGCCTCAGTTTTTGAACTGCCCATACCAATGTACAACAATTCCTTTCAAGAAATGAGTATTTTACCTCGTAAGGTGTGAACTTCTTGTTAAGATAATAAATTTCTTGCTCCCTTTTTTCAGAATCATCATGCTGCCCCAAAACACATCCCACTACCTCGTCGAGCACAGACAGATATATAATCAAAGGTCGACCCGACTTGGGTAGCACTAAAATCGGAGGGTGCAACAAGTAATCCTTGATCTTATCAAAAGCTTGCTCATATTCTTCACTCCAATACAATGTCACATTCTTCTTCAACAATTTAAACAAAGGCTCACATGTAGAAGTCAATTGAGCAATGAACCGGCCGATGAAATTAATCTTTCCCAAGAAACTCTTCACATCCTTTTGTGTTTTTGGCACTGACATCTCATGAATTGTTTTAATTTTCGTCGGATCTATCTCTATGCCTTTTTTACTGACAATGAACCCCAATAATTTGTCGGCAGGAGCCCCGAAAGCGTACTTCGCAGGATTTAATTTCAAATTACATCTTCTCAATCTTTCAAATAACTTTTTCAAATCAACCAAATGATCCTCCATTTTTTTGGATTTGATTATGATGCCATCCACATAAACTTCCATCTCCTTATGAATCATATCGTGGAACAAAGTGGTCATGGTCCTTTGATAAGTAACTTCAGCATTTTTCAATTCGAATGGCATTACTCAATAGCAAAATGTTCTCCATAGAGTGATAAAAACAGTTTTCTCTCTATCCTCTTCTGCCATTAGAATTTGATGGTATCCGACGAAAAAATGGCCCAAAGACTCGATCTCATGCCCAGCGGTGTTGTCCAAAAGGATATGTATATTTGACAAGGGAAAATCATCCTTTGGATTAGCCTTGTTCAAATCTCGCTAGTCAACACACACCCTCACCTCTCCACTTTTCTTCGGGACAGGGATTGGATTTGAAAGTCAAATAGGATAATGAGAAACCAGGATAATCCTAACATTGAGTTGCTTCTCAATTTGCTTTTTGATTTTAAGACTTATGTCCGGTCGAAATTTGCGAGGCTTCTGTTTCACTGGTGGAAAATTTGGGTTCGTTGGTAATTTGTGAACTACTATATCTGTTGAAATGTCTATCATGTAATCATAGGACCAAACAAACACATCTTGAAACATGGTCAAGAATTCAATCATCTCTTTTTTTTATTTCTTATTCAAATGAATGCTAATTTTTATCTCCTTGACATCAGTCTCAGTGCCAACATTAATGATTTCTGTTTTTTCTAAGTACTGTTTGGATTTCTCTTCATATTGTTCAAGATTCTTTAACAAAGACTCAGATTCGTCATCGTTATCGCTCTCGTCTTGAATTTCTGATTCCATAATTTCGAATTCGTGAGAGATATCGAGATTGCAGTTATCAAATTCTGGAATAGTAATATCCAAAGGATTCAATGTGTTTTATTTTTTGCCATCTAAAAAAGAATGAGATAGATACAACAATGCGTAAGTAAAACAATTGAAAAATGAACACTGTGCATTTCAATGAATTTTAAATAAAGGACAAAACGTCATAATATATTATTTAACAAAAGATACGCTACTATAGCATAATACTTGTATTGAAAAATATTTGATTCAAAACTATTTATAAAACTGAAACGCAAAAGATGAACAATGTACATGATTTCTTTCATATCTCTCAACCAAAGGTAATCCTCTAGATTTACCGAAATTTCCTTCGGGAGGGAAGAAAATCAACGGTCCAATTCTTCATTGCTTCCTTGGAGGCTTCTGAAAATTTTTTATTCTCTGACGGCTCGCCCTTATAAGTAACCCCCACGAATAGTTTAGACAAACTAACATCCACCTCATCGATCGGATCCGATTCAGATCCGATTACTTCCGATGGATAGAAAAAAGTGTAGTGTAATGGTGGGATACTCCTGACAATTTGCTTTCCTTCCTTTTTCGCTCTCTTGTGATTCAGCATTTTTTTCTTGTCCCTAGAAATAGGTTGAAACCCTAATCCAAAAGTGTTCTTCTTTCCTTGAAACTCTATAGGTTTTAGAATTCCCTGCAAGTTATGCTCGAGACCTTTGCCTATCTCGTATCCTCCTCGAATAATTTCTTTAGCCATCATAATGTTGGCTTCTGGCAAATTCATCCCCACCACCGACTTGTCTTTAGATACCTAACCTATTAAAACGATATTAGCCATATGATGAGGAGAGGCCAGAACTTTTCTATCATTTTTCTCTTTTGGTCCGGGACTGACGATCATAGTACAATCATCCTCTGCAAACACTGTGATTAATTGGTTATTCACTACAAATCTCAATATCTGATGGAGCGAAAATGGTATAGCACCTGAAGTATGAATCCAAGGTCGTCCAAGTAGAATATTATAAACACTTGAGAAATCCATGACTTGGCACATGATTTGAAATTGGACAGGTCCTATTTCCAATACTAAGTCCACTTTTCCCATCGATTCTCTTTTTGCGCCATCAAATCCCCTCACCACAGTTGTAGACGGCCGAAATTTAGTTTCTTGAAACCCCAATTTAACTGAAGTATTCCAGGGACAGATATTCAAAGCAGATCCGTTGTCTATCAAAACTCTTGGCAATAACTTCCCATTACAACGGACTGAGATATACAATACTCTGTTATGTCCAATCCCCTCAGAAGTTAAATTCTCATCAGAAAAAAAAAATCTGATTTGAAGCCAAAACATGCTAGACTACATGAGTGAACTTGTCAATCGAAATATTCTTAAACACCTGAGTCTCAGTTAACACCTTGAGTAGAGTTTCTCTATGAAGTTCCGAAATTAAGAGCAGATTCAACATAGAAATTTGAGCAGGCATTTTGTCCAATTGCTCTATCACTTTATACTCATTTTTCTTCAACATCCTAAGGAAATTGAATGTCTCTTCTTCAGTCACAGCTGGTCTTGTTGGCGCGGCATTTTCCTTTGCTTTGGATGGCTCACTAACTGCAGGTCCACTTATAATTCTTTCAGATCTGATGACGGCAACCACCTCTTTCTTTGGCATTTTTTCTCCTCCAATCAATAAAATAGGCTCACTATAATTCCGTGGGACTTCTTGTAGGTTAAGAACAGGCGTTTGTTCAGGAAATTCAAGTATCACAAGCTCTGAAAACTCACATTCAAAAGGTATTAAATCTAAAATAAAAGGATCAGCATTTTTCGTGACCTCGGAGGTTTCTTCTTCCAGTATGAAGGGTTCTCCAATGACCCATATTATCTCAGTTTCATCCACAATGCATTGAATTGGTTCCTTGATCTCCTCGTCAATGGTAATAACTCCAACATTATTCTTGTGCGTAGGAAGAGAGTTCTTACTAACACTCGGTCCTTGTTCTTCTCTCCTTCTTAAAACTATGTCTTCGGCCTCAATCATATCTTGAATTTTATGCTTAAGTACCCAACAATTGGTAGTGAAATATCCAGGAGCTCCAGAATGATAAGCACAAAAGGATTGAGGATTATAACCAAGAGGAAACCCTCTAGGATAGACTTTAGGAGGTATCGTACCAATTTTTCCTGCAGTTTTGAGTTGTTCATATAACTGATCAATGGGCCGATCTAGATTAGTAAAAGTTTTGTATAGGGTTGGGTTTTGGGTGTCATTGGTTTGTTGATAGTTGTAGTTCTGGTTAGCTGGTAAAGCAGATATTGAATTATAAGTAGGGCGAGGTCTAGTTCGAAAATTAGGTGGAGAAATATAAAATGGTGTTGCGGATGTGGTTGGGTAATTTGATCGGGGTCGAGGGTGGTT